CATAAACTATACAAACATACCAACCACCTTTAAAACGTTCCGCGAACAAATCTGTCAAGCAAGTGCAATTATGTAGCCTTGTGAATAGGAAATCCTCTCTCCTTTTTCTTGTTGATTCCACCTCGCTGTCAGTTCAGATAAAAGTACACAAATTATTAAATACAATTCTCTTCCACGATTGACATCATGAATTAGTTTCTCTTGGTTACGTGCGGAAACACAGCAATTGAACAACAAGTCATTCATCATTTCTACACAGGACGCCAGGTGGAACAAATTCACATTGCGGCACGCGACAGTTTTTTCTTTTCCGTTTACTGAGTGAGCTTTATCATTTTGTGAAATTATAAAAAAAGAACGCCCTCATTGTCAGCTGAAATAAAGATACCAATTAATCCGACAGGAAAAGACAGAGCATTTAGACTATGGGCTGTAAACAGGGACCTAACTTCGTTTTTTTTTTTTTTTTTTTTTTTTTTTTTTCATTTCTTTTTTTATTCGTGTAAAATCTTTGTATTTGATGTCAATCAATACATACATACACACATACATACATACATACATACATACATACGTATAATCTTCAATTGTTACTATCTTCCAGTAAAGCAAATTGTTATCGTTGTAACTACCCCAACAACTGCTGATTGTGCCTCAGTTTCCAGGGCTGCCGTATAGTTCGTTTCTAGGAAAACCGTGAGTCATTCCATTGACGCCTTTCAGCTTTATAGTCGTTTTTATTTGGATTAAATAACCCTTCAGCCGAACCTGTACTTAATTGAATTCAAAATTTACAAGAACGAAGAGGGAAATCTGATAAAATGATAGATATCTACCCGATGTACTATCATCTCGTTACCGTTTTTCATTTATTATCATTAATTCTGGAATTCCGATGTGAAGAAATGCAGCTGACAAGTTGCATAATTAGGGCCAATTCATTTTTCCCCTCATAAAAAATTCAGACGACGGCATCATTTCTTTGCTGCAAAATGCAACATTCCATTAGAATTATTCCCCAAAAGTATCATTTTGCCTTTTAAAGCTTAATTCTGCAACAAAACTTAATTCTGGAGACAACAAAAACGGTACCTACCTAAAAATATGAAGAATAAAACAGACGTGTACCACGATTCAGCTATTCTCCATCCTACATGTACATTGTCAGCAGAGTTAACACGTCGGTTATAAGAAACCCCTGTAAGCTACATTGTAGTAAGGCCTTCCTTTTCATTCCTCGACAAATCTAACAGATGAAAGATGTTCTTCTCTACTCAGATATTCAATCCACGAGAGTGCAGCATTGTGAGTTTTATCAGTTTTATCCTGCTGGTGAATCTTTTGCAAATCAGTGCCTCTTTGACTCGAATTTTGACCTAAACTTTCAAAACGACTGCTCTATATTACGCGTCGGTCACACCTGCGCGGAAAAAATGTATGTAGTAACAATTTGGAGCGCTTAACGATGCCAAATCACAATAGTAATAGCACTATAAATTATGAACCAGCACTTAAGTGCAAGCTTGTTCATTTTCTCATAAAAAAAAGACTCTATTGGCACCGTTTACGCAGCAAACTTTTCTTGGGGGCATATGCCTACTTGCTTATTTTTCGAAATATCCCAGATCTGTTGTGATTTCAATGCAAAGAGCGTATTATTTCCGCTTAGCCTTGGTCATAACAATTTATTGCATCGATCTGACTGCTTTATCACTTGCTGTGAACCTTTTGCGATTCGGGAACGCATGGTCTGATATTAAGTCAATTACTGCTTTGGTTAGATAGAATGCAACCTACAGCCCCTTCCACGTGTAAATGTATTATGACTCGATTAAAGAAATATGATGCACATTTCCACCCACAATTGAACTTAGCATAGGCCAAAGTTACATTTTGATTGAACTCCTGCTACCCGTGGGGATGCACAGATTATGTATAGCCTCTATATTGGACGTGGACTATTTCCTCAACTTAAAATAGCTTCGGTGTTATCGCCAAAGTTCAGCTGAAGTTGAAGCTTTATTAAAAGCTTAATTACTATCCGTTGTCAAGATTATTATGGCGATTACGTTAATTGTAATTTAATATGTCTCAGCAAGTGATCAAAGTCTCTGAGTTTGGCGTTGAGAGGGCGCGGGGTGGGATTGTTGTTGAGGGGTGTTAAAACTTAGGTCTAGTGGTTAGAATTTTCTCTTTGTATTAAACTGTCTGTAAAGTGTCCTCCGGGTTGATGATTCCAGTAAATAAAAAATAAAGCAGAATATATAATGTCTTCTCAACTAAAACTTGGTTTTATCATGTTTTATTGTCATTAAAATAATGGACTTAAAATGATCTACTCCATCTATTATTTGATAAAGAGAGCACGATTGTGATCGAACAGCAATTATTATTTTTGTTGTCTGCTCACTGGGACACTATGGAGGTGAAAGGACATAGAAATAGATTTTTTGTCGAAAACGTTTGCATTGTATTCCCAATTAACACACGCACTTATAGTGCGGTCATTCATTAG